GTGCCAAGTTTTGTTTTCATAGGATTGTTTTTACGCCCCCGCTGTTTTCGTAAAGAAGCGTGAAATTCTGAACATTTTAATCTGCGAAAACCGCCATTATATGCAAATTTCAAACTTTCTTAAATTTTGGCCGTAGAATAAATCGTTGGAACTTTAAACTATTTTTCCATGAATAAGTTAATGTTAAGGTATGTTTTGGCGAAATAAAAGAAAAATCGATTTTTCGTGACTGTCTTCCGATTCTCGACACTCTCAGAAAATCACTCTTAAGACCCACAACAGCCTTGACACTTCTTTCTCTCTTTTTTTGATAGCGAGGTCAAGAATCCACAATGTATATGGGCCATTCATTTGCGGTATTGTTCGTAATTATCCTTGCCTTCGCTCTGCCAACTGATTGTCGAAGGCCTAAGGGTCGCCCGTTTAACATAGGTCGAAGAGACAAATTGAAGTTCCTTCACGTATCCGACGTCCATTACACTCCATTTTACAATAAATCCGTGGACGAAAGCAACTGGTGCGACAGCTCAGGAGCCAGTTCTACCGCGGATTATGAAGCACCTTATGGGAGAATTGGATGTGATTCCCCAGCAGCTCTCTGGTTAATTACTTTAGATGGCATGAAGGAGAAAGCACGTGACGCCAAGTTTATAATGTTGGCAGGTGTACAATTAGATTGTTTTGTTAATGCCGATCAGGCCAAATTATTTCTTTAAATAATTTGTAATTTTATACTCGGAGGAAACATTTTGTATTCTTTTTTTTTTTGTGATTTAAACTGCCTGTTTTAAGTTGGAATAATTTAAAAGCGGCCTCATCTTGGCTAACTACGATATAAACTTAGAATTTTGGGAAATCTCTTCGTCTCAACATTGAAACCGTCAGAAGGGATTAATGTTTGAGACAAATCAAGCTCGCAATATACAACTATTTTATATTGCAACAGCCTTCATTAAACACGACTCAATAGTTGCCAATGATTAACATCTATAGACGACTCTCAGGTGAAATAACTTTTCAAATTTCGTGGGGAAAATGAACTATAAAATAAAAGCAATTAATAACAACAACAGATTGCACAAGCATAATTCTACACTGATCAAATAGCGGTACAATATTAACAAACATGTTTGATGAGAAATACTTGAAATTACAGCTAAGTAACGTTTTCACGCAACTAGCCAAGTCTAAAAAGTTGATCACATTTTTATTTAGAAATAGTAAATTGGTCATGCCGCGCCCGCAGAACTTAAAATTATCAATATATTAACTTCTGAGGTGGCCTCCGTTATACCCCGGTGGTTTCTTTTGGAGGTCTCCTCGCCGCCTTTTGAGTACTGTCAATATCTTTTGTCATTATTTACGTACGTGGCAAATAAATGATGATGACAATGATGATGAAAAAACTGAGGAAAAAATAGCAATAACAAAAGAATAAAGACTAAATAGGCCAAAAATATAAGAAAAGCAGTAACAATTGTTTTTACTTGAAATGCTTGCATTAAAACTCATCTGAAGTGTCTTATTATCATTATCATTATCATTATCATTATTATTATCATTATCATTATTATTATCATCATCATTATTATTATCATTATCATTATTATTATTATCATTATAGTTTCCATTGTGAAATGGGGCTGACGTCAACTCGTTGTCAGATTTCTTATTTACTAATCATCATTGTTAGCCTTTTTTGGTCACTGACGCACGGCGTTATAGCTTAAAGGAAGATTGTCTCAATTTGTTATCAGAGGAGAGCTTGTCAGTATTTCTAAATATTTTGGAGGACAAAAACGCATTTAAATTGCCCAGTAACATAAAAAAAAAAACTTGAATAACCCTAAAAGTATTATATCACGTTTTCCCTTCGGTGCCAAGAAAATGGAAACTTACTAATATACAGCCTGAGCGCTAGCTGAGAAATTCACGTTTATACACTAGGTATGAATCTGCAATATTGTTCAGAAGCCCATAGGGAGTTGAATTATTATCATACCGTGGTCTTCTTTTTTGTTCCTATTATAGGAGACTCAGCTGGCCACGGTCTGACAGACGATTTTGGTTCACACAATGTTCTAAACAGCTTGTCCTTTGTCAGCAGCAAAGCCCATGAAGTATTTCCGGAAATTCCGGTTTTTCCTGCTTTTGGCAACAACGATCTTCCCGGACATTATATACTACCAAATAACAGCGATTGGTACAAGACTGTTCTGACTTACTGGGCTCCGCTTATTTTGTGCGAAAAGTGCCCGGATCATGTCCAAAAGCCTACGACTATGGAGGCACTTGCGAAAACATTTATTGATGGTGGCTATTACAGCGCAAACATTGCAGGTAAGACTATCATTTGAGACCAAATTGACTGAGTGAGACTGGGTTTGAAAGCGCTAGGTCGCGTGAGATTAAATCTCATAACCCAAGCCTCGGTTTTCAGAAAGACGCGGTAATAACGGAGCTCCGGCGGCCCGAAGGGCCGCCAAGCGGAGCCCCATACTCATATAGGAAAGAAAAAGAAACTCATGAGTTGATTTTCTCATGGTGATCGTGGCTAGCGGTATTGCTCGTGGGCGCGTACGCACGACGACGGCGATGGCGACGGAGTCACGCAACATGGCGGGCATACTCCAAATAATAGGTTGACAGAGACACTAGAGACATGCAGCCTTGCTTTACCGTGCTCTTCTTTGATTTTGGACATCCATGTTATCATCAATTGACACCTGTCAAAACAAGGTATCCGCTGACCAGTATCACGTGACCATATCGCGGGTTCAACTTTACAGCTCATCGAGGTCATGTGTTTTTTTTGTTTTTTTTGTTTTTTGAAGTTGACCGTTGACCAAGTGCTGGTTTTTGATTGAATTGCGGACTCATGTCAGGTTAACTTGTTGCAAACAGGGCAGGATTGTTCGGAAGCCGGTTAACGCTAACCCAGGATTAAAAGTTAACCGAATTATAACTTTTTCCTCTATACAAATGTTTTTTGCTACTTTGTTTTGTGTATATGATGATTATTAAACTCAAAACAGAAGGCCAAATAATATACAGAAAACCTCCCTGCAAAGTTACAAAACTCAAATCAAAATTCTACCTGTTCCCGGGTTAGCTAAATCGGGCTCTGAACAACCCGGCCCAGGAGCTACCCTTTCAGGCTGGCCTAAATCTACATATTAAAATTTAACCACGGCAGCTTTTAGTGCTCCCGGTTTGCAAGCGTTATTTTGTTGTTATTTTTTGGCCAATATGTTAAAAAAAAAACATTTTTGATAACATAAAGTATAACGAAAAGGAGCAACACTGGTCAAGTCACAAATATAATGCTAACAAAGAAATTTGAATCAGTATAAGTTGCAGTGATTTTGGATTATTTTAAGCACCCAGGCTTAGTATGTTTGCCGAGAGTTGGATGTGTGTTTATACTGAACAATAACAACAACGACAGCACCGACAACATTGGTTAGAAAAACAAGGGTTTGTAAATCCCTCGCAAAGCATTTGTAATTCAATTTGTTTATTTGTTCGTATTTGGCTGCTTTTGGAATGTATCCCGGCCATAGTTCGTAGAGGGAATGGTTACGAAACCAGGCAAACAAAGACGCCAAGAATTACGTCGGAAAGTCAACGACCCTGCACAGTCTTTCGTTTCACGTTCATACACTACGAGTAAGTTTCGTAGAACCAAAACGTTTCTACCGATAATTTTTAAACACCTACCGTATTTTTTGCATGGTCAAACCCAAAAAAGCGAGCAAAAACAAATTCAAACTGAATATCTTAGTCTTGCTTTCTAAGCATTCCTCTCTATTGCCTAAGTTTTGAAAAATGAGCTAAAAAATATAGTTATGTTAATACATTTAGAGATTGCTTCCTCAGTTTTTCCAAATTATAACTACTTTAAACTTACTTCAACAACAACAAAATGTCTTTCTCCGACCATGATGATATTCTTCAATGCTATATCATGCTAGTTTTCACAGATAAAATATGCAATTAAAGACATACGAATGTAGTTAAAACTGAAGTCAACGCCAAGCAAGGAGATTGTTCCGCCAATGTTTTTATCTCGTGTTTTGGTGGATCTAAGTAGAAAAAAGTATCGGTTATTATTTTTAGGGGTCGCTAAAGTTATCTTTGGCAAGATTAAGTGACTACTTAGCCACGACATTTCAAGTCACGTCAGTTAAAGTGAATCACGCAATGCACGAGTTAATAACATTCAATGATGCTCCTTACCACAGACGTGGTTTTGTGTGGCTATGGCTGAAGAACATGAAAAAAGTAATAATTATAAAAATAAACAAGATCAGTGGTTACGACTAGGTTTATTAAGAGCGATTACAAACGACAAACTAAAAAAATATGACCAAATTTGTTTGAAGATGCGCTCTCTCTAGCACAGCTGCTTGAATTTAGCGATTTTTCGTTGAGTGTAGAAATTCTGATGTCTCGACTTTAAAGCTGCTTCTGCAGACTTTTAAATCTAACAATTGATGGATTCAGTGATTTTTTTTTCACGACGCCACTGAATCCCATGTGAAAGATTAAAGATCGCCAATTATACTGTTGACACTTTACTTCCAGATGGAAAGATGATCTTACTAGTCTTGAACACCATGTACTGGAATGACAACAGATACACCGATCCGCTTGTTGATCAGATAGCTGAAAGTCAAATGCAATGGTTCAATGATCAACTTCAGATGGCCAAAAACCAGAGAAAGAAAGTTCTTATAATGAGTCACATTCCTCCCGGGTGAGTCGTTGAGGCATAGTTTATGATAATAACTATTACAATACAGCTCAAGGTTTCTATTTAACAATAAGGCGGCTTGCTCGAGGTTTCTGCAACAGTTGGCTAATGGCGAAGCCCTGAGTCAACAATCAAGAATTTAATTGAATAGCAACATAGAGCAAATGCTCGAACCGTCGGACTGTGTTGTAACATAACCCACTGACCGATTGATCAAGCAAAACTAAAGGCCAGGTGTTATTTTTTTAGCCTTCTTTGTTAAGCCGTTGTATTGACAAAAAAATTGTAGTAGTTAAAAAGGAACATTTATCAAGCAACGAAAATTGTTTTATTCAAGAAAAATCATGAAAACACGAAGATTATTCGGCCAATCATATTGCAAGTTTACCTGATAGCAGGTCTGTTGGTGAATAGACCATATTCGTATTCTCGATATTGGACTGGGACGAGCTTGCAACCGGACCGAGGCTAATGATGCGGGAAGCCTTTTACAAATAGAAATTTATCTCTTTTTGATGATACTCCCCCGCAGGAAGCCTCCACTGCAGGCTAGTTCCAGTCCAATACGGTGAATACAAATATGGTATATTGATTTAAAGATTTGCTTACGTTTGCAAGCATCACAAGCAGGAAAGAGCTCGAGTCTCGTTAGTTAGAGCGAAGCTGAAGCAGAAAACTCATCTTTCATCTAACCAGCTAAGTAAAGTTATTTACTTATGAATAAGTAAAACAAGCTATTTTTGTCTATATTTTTTTCATCTTAATTGTTATTTCAGCGGTGACCCGTACGGATACGACTTCTTCTGGCTACCACAGTATCTAACCCGATACGTGAGCCTTGTAGCTGGGAAGTACCATGATATAGTGGCAGGTAAAATCGCTATTTGAATGAAGATCCTAATTCGAAAATAAAAACATGTTATTTAACATCTTTTGATCGAGTCAGAAAAATTGATTATTAGTTAATTGGTGAACTGGCATTGTGTTTTAGTGGTGTCAGCATAAAATTCAATAAGTCGTGCACAAGGCCAAAGGCGCTGTGCACTAAGGAAATAATAGAAATCAAATTTGAAAAGTTGTTTTCTCGTGTTTTGATCTCTTCGTCAGGTCAGTTTTATGCTCACACTCACAGGGATGATTTTCATCTTCAAATCTTGGACGCCGCAAATGAAGAGGCAGAAAAAGCGTCTACGAAATCCTTTGTTATAATGACTGCCTCGATATCACCTGTTTACAGCAACAACCCGGCGTTTAAAGTGTTCACGCTGCGCACCGACAACCAAGCCCTTGTTGATTATGATCAGTACTACCTCGATTTGGTCATAGTTACAGGTAAGAAAAATTTCCCACGATGTTTTACTCATAGCTCATGTTTCTCCTGATAAGTGATCGAGTTAGCTCTGGGTTGTAGTTCGTAAGCACAAAAGTAAGCCATTTATCTCTATTTCAAAACGCGTCATCACACATGACCATTTACAGTGGATTTGGAAGACAGTGCACGTGCAAGTAAAGAGGCAATTAATGTAACTCGTAATGTGGTTTACCGCAGACTGATTTATTATTAATCCATAACTTCTGGGAAGTGTAAAGTCTGTATTAGTATAGTGGAAACTCATTTTTCAACATCTCGAATTTCATTTATTTACTGAAAAAGCAAGGCCCAGTTCAGGCGCCGAACTTTAATCGAATTTAATTCGAATTTGGACCGACCCAAATTATCAAAAGTACACCTGCTGATTCAGACGTCGAACTTAATTCGTCGAACTTTATTTAGTTTAAACCAAATCACATCGAAATGTCAGCGATCAGTCAGGCAAAGTGAAAACTACTTGTAAAATATGTTATGATAATTTATGCATTATAGGTTCGGCTCATGAAAAGTTCGACGTCTGAGTCAAAGCCGTTCCAAAGCCGAAATTCTCGGCTGAGCTAGGCGGGAAGAACGGCTGGGCCGTGCCAAATTCAAATAGCCGTTCTTAACTGATTCAGACGCCGAACTTTTCATGTACTTAATTCACCGTATTTGGTTCAGCTCATGGAAAGTTCGGCGTCTGAACTGGGCCTAAGTGACTAGAAGTATATTTCCTTCCCCGCCCATTCCCCTAAAAGAATAAGCTTATAAACTTCGTTGAAATTTATATCCTAAATTTGTTAATCTGTATCAAATATTGGTCGTGAAGGTCACTTTAAACGAGGAACCAGGATCATCTCTGTTAGGTGAATTTCAGCAAAACGTTCCACTGTAAAAGAGATGACACCACCCCACATTTCACACCCTTTTTCGGACAAATGTTACTTTTCAAGTGAATATATGAAAGACCATACATTTGAACCGCTGAGAATGAAATGAAGACATGATTGATAATCGCAGTTATACGCAAACCTTAAGCAGTTGAGAAATTTAAGCCTGAAAAAAAAATTCGGGTTTGAACGGGATTTGAATCCATGACCGCCGCGATACCGGTGCAGTGCTCTACCAACTGAGCTATCAAGCCAGCTGAAAGCTAGTCATGTTGTGAGTTTGTAATATACCCGTAGTTTGCTTTAGTTTGTTTTAATATACCTTTTGTTTGCCGAAGTCCATACCTGGTTTTACGTCCGCTTGGGTTCCTGTGGTTTGTCTACTAGTTAACTGAACCTCTTAAAGTAGAGGTTCTTTCCCTGTATCTGTAATTCTTAAAAGTTGTTATTCTAATTCGAAAATTCTCGAAAACTCTCCACTGCCTAATCCCTTGGAACGAATCGTGCAGCCATATTAGAATATACAGTGATGGGCAACTGTCAGCTAAGTGCAATGGCAGGGAAAAATTATAGCGATAGAATTTTGGTCACAAGTGGTAACAGCACTATAAGGCTTCTACTTGCATCGTACGGTTTGTTCCTATTGTGATAAAAATATCAAGACCAATAATTTAGCTTGTAATTAATCATAGGTGAGTTTATTTCGTTATTTTACCAATCTCGGCACTTTTGCTGCGTGGCTAAGTGGTTAGGGCGCCGGACTTGAAATCCGGAGGTCGCGGGTTCAAGTCCCGCTCTGACCACTTAGCTGGAGTTGTTTCTCGGTAGACCCTAGTTCAACTCCTCGGTCATGCTTGTAAATAGCCAACTGGTCTGACTCCCGCCGGTTGGGATTTTTAAGCCTATTACGTTTAGTTGATATCTTTGTTTCCTTCATTTAAGTTGGCATGCCTGTAAACTAGCCAGGTGTAGCTAAGCGCATTGACCACTATAAACAACAACATTTGAACATATTTTTTTTTTTTTTTTATGAAGAGGGTCATAACCGATACCAAAATCTTTTTCAAGCTCCAACAACTTGAGCACATTTAAGAGGTGCATCATGTATGTGTCTAATATTAAGCAAGGGAAGACCGCATCCTCCCTTGTATGACTTGTATTAATACCCCGTCCACATTACACCGGAGAAATTTGAACACGACGTTTCGCTCTGAAAACGCATCAAATGTTTTCCTTCCATACCACGCCGGAGAAAAACTCGAGGAAAACTCGGGCGGCGCGGGAAAATCTCATAATTATCGTGACGTGAACGTTTTTGAAAAGCTCTCTTTTCAGAATATTTTTAAAACGCAAAGCTGGCGTTTTTAAATTCCTTGGGGTTGAAGAACGTTCTAGAAAAGGTCAATTTTCGTGCCGGATTAGTGTGGACGGTAAGCCTAAACGTAGAAATAAAGCTACGTTTTCGTGACGGATTAGTGTGGACGGTAAGCCTAAACGTAGAAATAAAGCTACGTTTTCGTGACGGATTAGTGTGGACGGTAAGCCTAAACGTAGAAATAAAGCTACGTTTTCAAATTCTCTGGCATATTGTGGACGGGGCGTTAGATCAAGGTTATGCAAAACGATGTGATGAAGGTTTATGTTTTGACTTTATTTTCGTACAGCATATTACTAAAAGAAACCAACAGTGTAAACAGACGGCATTTGTTTTGTTTTCTTGTAGAATTTTCTAATCCGGTGTGGAAGTTCGATTACACCTTCAGCAGGAAATACCCATCCAGAAACAAGTTCATTAACGCTGACAGAATTGACGAATTGAACCAGGAGCTTATAAGCCAAACTGATGGTACATACTGGAAAGCTTATATACCTTCCACAACGGCCAATTACCAGACAGGATCGTACGATCGACTTCCCCTTTACTGTATCATGAGATACGTATTTGAAGAGGATTTCAAAAAGTGTCACGAAAAATTCAAAGTACTTGGTGGCTAGAGAGAGGATTAAGTCAAGATTACAATACTGTGTGGGATGTATTACTCACTTGCATTGTAACACGGTTTGCAGGAATAAAAACTAACTTAACCGTGAATGGTGTTTGTATGATTAATCGTCGCAGCTATAGTTGACACCCGGTAACTCGAACCCTCCCTAACTCGAACCCCCCGCTAACTCGAAGCAATTTTCATTTCCCTTCAGGCCATTTTCTATATAATTTTACCCTCGATAACTCGAACCCCCGATAACTCGAATCTTTTACTATTTCCCCTGAAGGCCCGAGTTATCGGGAGTCGACTGTAATCTATTGGTCCTGCCATTGTAATTAGGATGGCAGGAGCTTGTGTCGAGTTTCAAATGTGCATGACTAGATTCCATTGTTGCAACTGACTGTCACCTCTTTCGGCGTTAGTCGGGAGAAGGCGAATAAAGGCAAGTCGTTCAGAGTTAAGACAAACCTCTCTCTCTCGGTATTCTAAAGCAAAAATGAAACACATCGCAAATAGTTTGAGTGGAGAGACGGCGGGAAATTTGTTGTTGCTATATCAGTAGACGATGTAATAATCGTAATTTGGACAACTCGTATAATTGAACTCTTTTAATCGTACTAATCACTTCGAACTTGTTACGTTACTCGCCAAAGACTCGACTCTTCTCTAATCGGAAAAGCACTAAACTTATCCTATTACAAAATTCACGTGATCAAACCGGTTCAAACAAGAATACTGTACAAACAAAATGCAGTGTCCAATTGCACTGATGAATTCTTAAATAAGAGCAAAGTTCAACGATTTCTACGCTATGTTATTCAGCTTTATTCGTACCTAAACAAATAGAAAAATATATTTATTGGAAAGACTTCTTAGAACGTCTAGCCGAATTACACGAGTCTCTTTCAAGTATCACCAAACACGATATTTCCACAGCACATGTTTCGGGTTCATGTTTCATATATTTTTTCCGTGCTTCCTGTCCTTGCTGTTACTTGGTGTACAGGGAGAGTGATTTTTGCTGCTCCTCTATGTCACAGTGACACGAATCCTCGAGTATATAGCGAAGATAGCGCAACCACAAGCATAAACACATTCTTTTCATATCTTCCTCACAAAACATCACTGTGGCATAAGCAAACGTATACCAACAACAACAAGAAAATTGTTGGTTCTATTGGTACTGAAGTTCAGGGGTATACAACGACGGACCATCATAGTAACAAATGCTTATTTTTAGGCAGTTCTACTAATTTCAAGAACCGAATGTTCCTCTCCTTTTGCAAAGAAATTAATGTGAAAGGCATGAGCATTCACAAGTCAGAGTCCTCGGCCTCCTTTAGACTTAATAAGATGTTGAAATTACTGACTCTGTACTTACCATACAAGTTCAAGTCTGAGTTTTATCCAAGACAAACTGCGAGTTATCAGTAATGACAACAATCTCCGCGAAATAAGGGATGTTTGGTAGTATAGTAGGGTATTAAGGTATTAGGGTATTAGGGTATTAGGGTATTAGGGTATTGGGGCATTGGGGTATTAGGGTATTAGGGTATTTGTGTATTAGGGTATTAGGGTATTAGGGTATTAGGGTATTAGGGTATTAGGGTATTAGGGTATTAGGGTATTAGGGTATTGGGGTATTAGGGTATTGGGGCATTGGGGTGTTAGTGTATTGGGGTATTGGGGTATTGGGGTAGGACGGTATTGGGGTATTAAGGTATTAGGGTAACAGAATATAAGTGTACTAGGGTATTAGGTTATTAAGGTTTTGGGTTATTGGGGTATTGGTGTATTTTTTGTATTGGTGTCTTAGGGTATTTGGGTATTAGGGTATTGGGTTATTGGGATTTTGGGTTATTGCGTTATTGCGTTATTGGGGTATTAGTGTATTGGTGTATTGAGGTATTAGGCCGATAAGGGTATTGGGTTATTAGGGTTTTGGGTAATTACTCTTAATACCCTAATATCCCAATACATCAATACCCCAATACCCCAATACCTTAATACCTTAATAGTCTATTATCCTAAAACCCTAACACCCTAATACCCTAACGCCCTAACACCCTAATACTTTGAAACCCTAACACCCTAACGCCCTAACACCTAAATATCCTAATACCCTAACACCGTAACACCCCAATACCCTTATACCCAAATACCCTAATATCCTAATACTATTATACCCTAATACCCTGACACCCTAATGCCCTAATACATTAACACCCTAGCACCCTAATCTTTTAACACCCTAATACGCTAATGAAATACTATCCTAATACCTTTATACCCTAATACCCTAATACTCTAATATCCTAATACACTACTAACCTAATACCCAAATACCCTAATACCGTAATACCTGTAGCCCCTTATACCCCAATACCCTAATACCTCTTAAGCTACAAACTTCTCGGATGCCGACGTTTAGGGTAGCTAGTACACAGGGAGCAGAGTGAGTCCTATTTGACCTTTTTTCCAGTAAATTCGCCGTACAATTGTAGCGCGAATCGATTTCTATTGATTGAAATGACCTCAAAATCAAACTGTACACATGCGATCGTGTTGCCATGATTAAATCTACTATAAATAGACATATAAAGCTTTTTGTGTTAGTGTGGCTAACAGGGAACAGAGTGCGTCCTATTTGTCCTTTTTTCCAGTTAAATTCGCCGTACAATTCTAGCGCGAATCCAGTGACGACGGTGCCGCCGAGGACGACGCCTAGTACAAAAATTATTTATATTCTACCCTCAAATGTCGCAACTTTGTAGATCTGTTCAGTGCGCATATTGGTCTAAAAACCTGCTCAGGCTAAATATGTAATGACAGCGTTCAATTTAAAAAGAAGACGCGAAAAATTTGCCATTGCGGTTTACGTTCTCTAAAATACTTATGACTTTGTTATTCCACGTTGTAGTTTTGTAGAGGACGGCAAAGAATGTACAGAGATTCAAAACGCACGTGCTGAACAGTTGTTCTGCTCATTAAACCTTTGCTTAAACTCCCTCCCTGGACCGAGGAGTATCATGGGTACCTGATGACTGAAGCCTATTCAAACAAGAAGCAACGCGACTACATCTGCGTTGACGAGGACACAGAGTATGTCTCTGGTAGCCAGGCAAACATGGTTGGTGCGTCATTGTACCTCGTGCAAGGTGAATGCTTTGGACTCCCGTGTCTTCCATATGTAACTAACCGCCAGCTGACTTGCGCTGTGTGTACCAAGTGACAGGAAAGCAGCTGCCATTACAGTCGGTGTTAAACCTAAACAAAGAAAAAGTCTTGAGCAGTGATTCTATAGTCTCTCATGATTAACGTAACGTAAAACCGGCCTTGATAAAGTTTGCTACTTTTAATGAGAATAGTCGAGAGGGTGTCAAACATGCAAGATGTAGCATATAAATAACACAATAAACGTGTGGTAAGATTACTGAAAAGTTTGATAATTGAATAAACATGGTTAATTTTAACCTCGGTAATAAAATGTGAAAAGTGAACTGATCAACTTGACACGAGCGTGGGACAAAGAAACAAACTGAATTCCCGACAGGAATCGGGACCTCCCGAACACCGGGCGGGTGCTCTATCCACTGAGCCACGAGGACTCATGGAGAGCAACGCCATTTAACTGAGTTCATATATGACAGGTATCCTGCATGCTGCTAGGATCAGCACTGTCGAAGTCATCGTGAGCGTCATAAGTGAATGAAGATGGTGAATTTTTTGCTCGGTAATGAAATGTGAAAAGTAAACTGACTCAACATGACACGAGCGTGAAAAAAGTTGTTTTGCAATTTTTCACTGTGACTATTTCGACTACAGTGCTCTTGATTCACTGAGCAACAACAACGGCAACAAGATCAACAATGCAATTAATGCCTTTCTCCCTGACTCCTGTGTTGAGGACCGAGGTTATATATTAACCCTTTGAATACCAAGTACGCATATATGCGTAATTAATGGTCGTGCTCTTTGTAAATGTCATTAGATATTCTTTATAAGCAGGTAGTAGTACTAGGCTAGGCCTTTCCGCACAATGGTCAGGTTTAGATATCGACGACATTCCGACGTCGCAAATCGAAAAACAATGTTATCAGTTTTGGTGCAAAAACGGTGGTAAAATGGTCCACTACGCGTATGATTGATCAAGGTCCATTTAATTAACATCCAACTTTTCACGGCAGCCAGAAAGAACATGCAACGCAAAAGGTAGCCAGTGTAAAAGGGCCGAGAAAAACAGATAGGAAATTGGCAACAAACAAAATTGAGAACGGTTAACGGCAAAAAAAAATTGTCCAAATTTTGGCTTATGCGCATGCCTGGAATAGAAATATTGCTCAATTTTGTACCTAATCCTCGAAAAACCTCTCCTTTTGGTAAAAAAAAGCTTTCTTAGCAAAACTTAGGCTTATTTAGCGTCATGGCAGCTAAAAAACCTGACTAGCTAAACGGTTAAAAACGGTATTTTTTGGCGAAAGTTTGGTATTCAAAGGGTTAAGTATTATTATGACAGCCGGTAATGGTTTTTTAATTAAGCTAGAGCAGCAGGAAAAATCCTTTTGTTTTAGACTATTCCCATGGGAGGGATGTAAAGCACGTAAGATAATCCAGGATTGGACTGGTTAGGGACAGGGCTACAGGGATCAGCTAATTCTAATCCTAAGTTGCTCTTATCTCGACAATGAAATGTAACAGCGCAAAAATCCATTTTGTGCTGGATGGGATTACAAGCATGCCAGACAATTCTGGATTGGAGTGGAGATTTGTTAACCTTAGGATAACGACGAAGTCCAATGCGAAGAATATATGTTTTACCAACGTCCCCAGTATAATGCCGTAATTCTCTCTCCAAATTAAATCTTATTTCGTTTAAGACAATCGTCTGTCTCGTTAACAAACTTATGAGATGATCGCAATATATATGAATATGATGAGTGTAAGTTTATCTCTATCATACATGCCTAAAATAACATCCTAAAAACTAATAAGAAACTAAATAAGAAATTTCGCCATGCGTTAAAATACCAAGATCCTGGTGAGTAAAGCAACCATCTGACCTAAAGCAATCGACAATATATGTTTCACTTTCCTCGCCAACCACTAAATTACTAAAAAAATTCATACTTATCGAGAAATGAACGTTACCGAAGAAAGTCTCAATATAATTATTACATACACGGCAGTCATTTGACATGACTTTAACGATAACATTCAACCAACTCTATTTCGCTTGGCTTCATGTAAATGTTCCGTTATTATTATATTATTCAGTATAAGGCTTGCCTGAATGTGTATATACAGTGTTTACTTGTGAACCCTAGGGGTAACAGGGTCGACGGTACTTTAACTACGTAAATACGTTAAGTAGTTGCCAACCACGCCGTTTTGTGGTTGGACGTTTTGGAGCTCCTGCCAAGGCGAGAGTTCAGACGGTGAAACACCCGATATCAAGAAATCGAACACATCCGAACAACCCTTACGCCACTTTTTTGTATCAATCTGAAGCATTGTTTCTAGATCATCAAAGATGCAAGCCGTTTGAGTGTTAGAGTTTTCTGCGTTTTCATCACCTAACAAGTACAATTGTGCTTTGAACATCGAGACCTGGTCAAATATAGCTTGTCTAGCTAACTCTAAGTCTATGGGTGGAAACCTTCGCTGGCAACAGCACCTTAGCTCGTATTGATTCCCCGGCTATAATCGCCGGTTTCTATTTTCCATTTTGTACAAGCCCTGCAAAGCTACCTGCAATAAATCGGCCACATGACGAGAGGTCAAGAATTACTTAGTCATGAGTGACGTGTGAGCTTCTGTCAGGCGTGGATACACTGCTTACCTAAAAGACTTACTACAAGTGGACAAAGTCTACTGCCTATTATCTTAGAATAACGTTTGTTTATTTACATCCCAAGTGCTTTTAGATTATCGATTCCCTCATATATACTCAATATATGAAAGCAAGCACTCATGCGACGATGAACTGAAGAGGAATACGAGAGCCGTACGGCTGTCATTTATCTCATACATGAAGTGTATCTCTAGCCTAAGTTACAGACGTCCGTTGAGCTCGTTACGAAATCCCTCCTCCCGATAAACACCTGCCTCACTGAAGAGCCGCGTCTGTTAGCCGGGCTGTAGCCAATCGCAGATTGGTTTCTTAGGCCTTAGGCTCTGCCATTCATTTTCAATACCATTATAATGTTTTTGCTGTTACCATTAGGATCTTGCCTTGATCATGAGTAAAGGACAATTCTGGATATTTTCATATCATTGTATGAAAATAAAATACTAAAACTTTCATTTGTTGTTCAATCAACTCTTGAGGACATTTTGATTTGTCAACCATTTCTCCACGTCATTTGACGTTGCCATAGCAATCTCAACCGGTTAAGCCAAATCTAGTCTTTTTTGACGGAAGTTTTCGTTTACATTCTGTTCTCTAGAAAACACTGCAGAATTAGTTGTTGGTTTTTCATCCATAATCATTTTGGATTGATTTTCCATTAATTTACGTTATTTTCTGGCTTTCTGAGGAAGGAGTCACATACAAGATGGCAGATCTAAGATGGCGGACTTGATGTCATGAGAGCTGAGCAAGCAAAAGATTTTGAGATGCCTTAAGTCAAATTCGATCCACCCTTCCCTCTACCCCATCGAAGCGCCAAACATCAAACGTTTGCCGTCTGTATTCAGCTACTTGTTCACTAGAGTGAGAATATTTGTATCTGTTGAGAATTTGTGTGATTGACCGATTTAACGATGAAAGGAGGCCGTTTACCGTGGACGGAATTCTTTATACTCGCTAAAAATTAAGTTTGAATGCGTAAATAATATTGTGATGTCAAGCAAAATAGTATCTACGACATCAATCAACTTTTCAATTTGAATGATAATTTCTTCAAAACAAAGGTAGATTGGTAGACGGAAGGTGAATGGAAGTGATTGTTCATGCAGTTACGCAGAAGCTTGTGAGGGAGGCAAGATTGCGTGACGAGCCCAAAACGCGTCTGAGTAGGATGAGACTAATGTATCTGTAATGTATCTGTTAACGGTTCCAAGACATTCTTGAGCCAGTACGTAGACATCTTCCCTTTCCCCTGTGCAAAAAAAATAAATAAATAAAAAAAAATAAAAATATATATATATATATATATATATATATATATGATCTGAATGAGAATAGAACATAACCATGTTTTTTTTTCTTTTTAATCTAAATGATATTTTAGATTTGATATTGCACAATTTTTACAAAAGGATTCCCATTTATTTTCATTTTTATTTAGAGGTGAGAGCCTAGATTTCCTCTTGTTTTTTTCAGCGATGATTTCAAACGTCCAAGCTGTTCAGGGGACACAACGAGCTTATTTGTCAGAATTGATCTGAAACAGTCATGGCCACGAATTAACAAACAAATGATTAAGTATTTTAAAACATTTTTTCTAATTGTTGGCAAATTTCTGTCCGTTCCTTTATTCACGGCAGGAATGTTTAAACTTCGGATTCCCAGCAAATTTCCTTGCAAAACTTTGCCAGCCAGCAGACACTCCGGGCGCATTTACACACGCTAAACACACGTGTGGTTCAATGACGAAATCTACACCTTCGTTGCGTGGGTCGGTGCAGTTGTGGGTCCAGGTCAGAATGAATATACGCCTTCATTTGGGGAAGAGAGGTGGGAGTCGATGGAGACGCTGCAAGATCAACTCACGGGAGAAACCTAGATTTTGGCTTAGGCTACGGTTAATGACGGCGAACAGCCAAGCTAGGGTTTCCCAGCCACCAAGAAGTCGGCAGGGAAATAGATATTTCAAAAACCTGTCCCGTTTGCGTATCCTAGGATCGGATTAGATAGTATGGATACATACATACTCTTTATGGAGCATTCCTGAAAAGGGTTTGCGACATCAATATTAATTTAACAAATAAATAGCAGAGATAACTAGAAAAACTAACATGTACGATATTGTTTAAATATCCCTATTTACATTGCAAATTTAAATTACAAATTCAAATTACAAATTCAAATTACAAATCCAAATTACAAATTCAAATTAATTCTTTAATCAAACGTTTCTCAAAAACTTTAATGTCTGTTATTTGCTTCAAGTTCTCGTTTAGATTGTTTCATAGCGCGCTGGTCGGTAGGAATTCTAAAAGATGGAATATTAAGACTGCTCCTATGTCTTGTCGTGGACAGTAAACAGAGTACAAAATTTGTCTGGCAAATGGCTAGGTAACAGTCCATTAGGACATTCATACAACTGTAACTGCATCGTTTTCCACAAGTTTTGCTTGGCATTTAGCAATCGAAGTGGTCATAAACCTTCAGAAATGCTGCACCAGTGATCATATTTTTGGAGCCCCAAAACAATCCTGGCAGCAAAATTTTGAACAAGCTGAAGCTTATATATGGATAAAATCCATCTAAGACCTTTATGGCCACGAATAGCTTCTTAGAGACCCCAGATGTTTTAATAAACATTCCAAGAAATGTTAACTGAGTAGCTAGTTAAAAAAGATGAGTTCCTGCAGAAAGTTACCTTCACCTCCACATATCCCCTGAACTCAGTTTCATAGCCTCCAATGTCGTCCAAGACGACTTTAGTGTTTCCACTGATGTGAATTTTCTGAGCTGAAGAAATAGAAAGTAATCATAAATGAATAATAATCCAAAACGAATAAATCTTAGCTTCAAACTTCAAAGCAGTAAATTAATGACATCTAATGTTTATTACTCTAATCATTCATTTATGCGAATACTTTTATTTATTAAATTTCAAGCAGAAACTCGAGGTAGTTTTAAATGACACAATGATTTAGCTGCTTTTTAGTATCCTTTCAGGAGACCCCCTTTAAGGAGAGTTTCAAAAAAGGCTTTCTTGATTTGTTAGAGGTGTGGTCTAGTATACTTGGATAGTTGTCAGTTCCATCCTGTTACCTAATAAATGATCAGGCTATATTTTCTGGAATATTTAATACTAAAAGCCGATGAGACCGTCGGCGTAGCTCGCTGTCTAAATTTGCTCAGACTTTGGCAAGATTGAGCGGAGTAATTGCAATTTATTACCCAAAAAATTGGCACCAAATTACATTTCTTTTCCCTTTACATCCACGCAAACTACAATTTTACAACACATACAGACAGGCCTTCAAAAGAGCACTTTCAATATGGCAAACTACCTACTGCATGGCGCAAAATAGCTGTCATATACGGATGACAGACAAAGTGGAATGCACACGTCCGTGTAGATATCCCGAACGTACTCCCTTGTTTTTCCATTTTTTTCTTTCTTTTTTTTGTTTGTTTGTTTGTTTTTTT